TGTGCTGCAGGTGCAGAGCAGTGGTGGTTGAAATGCAGGAGAGATTTAGCAGCACCAGGGGAGATAGGGGAAGCGAGAGGCCCGCAAAGCTCTGATAAAGGCAGGGAGGCAGCAAGGCAGGGAGCTGGAGGTGGAGAACTCACCGCCAGAGTGTTTCCACTCGATGGTTTCCGCACATCTGCAAAGTAACACAGTTGGTTAGAAGATGCTTGTGTGCCAAGGCAGTGTGAGTATCTGGAGCTGACCCTGAGGGCTCAACACCATCCTTACATCTGCAGGCACTACTACCAAGAGGGCCCAAGCACCCTCTTCATCCCCAGGGCCAAACCACTTGAGCTCAGGTACAGCAATCCATCTCATGCACCCCAGCCATCCAGCTGTCCCTGGTCCAGCCATGTTTGCAGAAGCAGCATCATCCCCTGGTGCACCCCTAGCCCCTCAGCACACCCCACCTGCTCTCCGGTTGTTGATGATGATGTAGCCAAAGAGCAGCAGCACAATCACACCAGCCAGCAGCAAGGTGCCCAGAAGCACAGTCTTGATGTGGTCTGGGGGTCTGCTTTCCTCTTCATTGGGCTCCTCAGTTGTGTTTGGCTTCTCAGAGGCTTCTGCAAGAAGCATGCAAAAAGTCAGCAGGTCAGGAGCACTGGCCTCTGAGTGGCAATGGGAGAGTGAAGGACATCCTCAGGAAAGGCTCAGTCCCAGGCGAGCTGCCACAGCCCTGCCATCTCCTCAGGGGTCCTCAATTTGGGCTGACTGGATATTGGGAAAAAGATGGAATATTCAGGTTGGGTATTACAAAAAATTTCTTCTCCTAAAGAGTGATGAGGCACTGGAACAGACTGCTCAAGGAGGTGGTGGAGTCACCATCCCTGCAGGTGTTCAAGAACCATGGAGATGTGGCACCGAGGGACATGGTTTAGTAGGGATGCTGGGGAGGGCTTGGTGGTTGGACTGGATGATCTTGGTGGTCTTTTCCAACCTTTATGATTCTATTAGTTGTGAAAGAAGACTAATTTTTGCAGTGTCTTTTTTTTATTTAAAGGGAAGGCCACCCATGGGTCAGGGAGAAGGGCAGAGGGAGGGCATTCCTCCAAAACCAACACATGCAAAGCCCCCTGCTCATCCTGTCCCTTGCACAGGTTTGCCCAAAGAAAAGTCAGGCGGTCCTCATCCCTTCCCCAGACCACCCAGTGTCCCACCTTGGGGCAGCACCACAGGGAGACACCAACACCCCAGGCTGACCTGTCACTACCAGCTGGGAATGGTTGCTCTCCACCACTTTGTCAAAGCGGGAGAAGGTGATCAGTCCGCAGTAGTAGAAGCCTGAGTCATTCTGATGGAGATTCAGGATCTCCATCTTGAATACAGGAGTGTCGTTGAAGAGCCGATACTTCTCCATCTTTTTCTGGGGGATGTTTCGGATGATCCCAGCAATTTTTTGGGGACTGCTGTTGTTGGTCTTCTGGTACCAGTTGAGATTGAACTCCAAGCTGGAGTTCTCCATGGAGATGTTGCAGATGAAAGTGGCCGAGCTGCCCACAGGACGAGTTAACATGGCTGGGAAGAGGGTCACTGTTTGGGAGAGAAGGCACAAGGAGATGACACAGTTACAGCAAGCACCTGGGCAGCTACAAGGCTTTAGGAAAAGTCGTGCCTCTGTGCCCGTTGTGCTTCTGCCTGCTCTGCCAGCAGCTCCACATGCTTTTCAGCTGCTTTACCATTAGCTCCTGAAGGCTCATAAAGGGCTTTACAAAAATCTGTTCACAAGCCCAGCCCTGAAACCTGCATCACTCTCAGTGGAGGAAACTGCACTCGGCTACCTACAGTTAACCCACAGGAGCACCTGCACTATGGAAAACACCCTTTGGGGGCCTTGCTTTGGCTGCTGGAGCCACTGGAGCAGGCAACGTCCCAGCACAGAGAAACCAACTCAGCAGGAAGAAGCAGCTGCTGCATTATTTTTGGATGAGAGCAGTAAAAAGAAGGAATAAGCATTTGTCATGTAGGTTGTCTGACCAAGCAGATGGCCCAAACAGCCAGTGCTTGGAAAAGTCCCCGCTGAGAAGAAATTCATCTTCCTTTTTAGAAGAAACCACCAGCACTGCTAGCTGCTGGGCGTGGATCAGAAAGACCTCGTGGTCCCTTCAGCATTAGCCAAAGGCCATAGAAGCAGTCCCTCCAAATCAGAAAAGTTCCTCAATTAGGTGGATCCAAACAGAAGGACATAGGGAGGGAACTTTCCTGGCTCCCATTTGCTGTGACAGTGCCTCTGAGTTTCAATGTCCGCAGCGTTCTGAGTTTCTCACATTTAACAGGAAATATTCAGCAGGCTCAGGGCTCTGCTTCCTACTGAGTGCTGCTGTTGGCAATGAATGAACTGCTCAGAAGACAGCCTAAGCAGAAACTGGCCTTACATACGACCCTGCGTCTCCCAGGCACCAGCACAATGCCTGGGGAGGGACAGTGACGGGCTTCCATCAGTACAGAACACAGCCAAAGCCACCAAAGTGGGGTCCTCCTCGCCCTGTCCAGAGTCACCCAGTCACCCTCCACTCTCCTTCTCTCCCAAAATGTCACCCTGAGCAAAGCCACAGGCTTGGAGAGGGTTGAGCCCACACCCACGGAGGAGAAGCCCAAGGGGTGAAAACCAGAGCAGAAAATGCGAGTACCCAACAAACCCAGAAGCTCAGCACCAAGCCCAACTCACGGCACGGCTCAAGCACTGCAACCTCGAGATCCAGCCCTTTTCTCCATCCTTTAACACCATTCTCCAAGCGCACCCCAGACCGTTGGGTTTTCCACCTACCCTGGTGGCAGCCAGCCAGCGGAGGGCTGCAGCACAGCAGCAGGACACAGAGGACAACCAGGACTCCTTCCATGCTGTCCCACATCGTCCTCGAGGTGCCCAGAGCCATGGCGGGGCGGCGAATCCCCTGCTGTGCTGTGTGTCTGCGCCCTGTGCCACTCGGCACCTCCTTCCCCATAGCGGTGGTTGGGTACAAATGAAACGTGACTGTCTCAGCCCCACAGGGAAACCCGGGCTGCCTCCCGCCCCCAGCTTCCTCCCCACGGGTAGGGAACAGCTGAGCCATGGCCTGGCCCTGCCCCTCCCTGTCTGCTTCTCCAAGGAGGGATGGGCACATGTCCTTGGCCCCACCGTTGGCCCATAAGTGGAAGGGGTGTCTGGTGGGGTGTAGGGGGACACGTGGCACTGAGAAGCCAGGAGTTGCCATCACCTGGCTGCTCCCAGTGGGAAGGGATGGGGAGAGGAGAAAGAGGAGGAGAAAAGGAGAAAAGAGCAAGAAGAAAAAGAAATGAAAAAAAGATGGGGAGGAGAGAAGGAAGAGAAAAGAAGGAAAGGAGATGGAGAAAAGAATGGTGAGGATGAGAAGGAGAAAGAGAAAAGAGAAAAAGGAAAAAAATAAAAAAGAAATACAAGGAAGAGAAGGAAAGGAGATGGAGAAAAAGATAATGAGGAGAAAAGGAGAAAAAGATGAAGAGAAATGAAAAAGAGGGGGGGAAAGAAGGAGAAAGAAAAGGAAGAGCCTTTCCCCCCAGGCCTGTATCTAATGAAGTGACTACCAGCAGAGAGCAGGGGCAAGTGCATAGGGTTGGGGTACTGCTACTGGGGTGACATTTGCTGCAGATTTCTCTAATTTCTCTGTCAGCAATGCTGCCCGCTCGCCTGTGACTAATATTCATGTAGCAAATAACTGGTGATGAAACCGCACCATTTGTTTGCTCTTCCTGCATCTCTTGTACACCGCAGTTGCAATTTTGGAAAGTGTCAGGGGAAAATTAATAATTGGGGCAAATGATGCTATTCTTACAATGCTTTAATCATTTTCCAGGCTTTCAGGAGTGAGCAGCGAGGTCGGGGCTCACCCACACCTCACTTTCAGCCCTGGCAGTGGGTGGGGGTTGGCCAGGGAGGGGGTACAGGGCTGATCCTGGGGCTGGTAGCTCCAGCCAGCCATATCACTGAACCCTTCGGAGATCCCAAAAGCTCCTTGAAGTCTTTGCAGTCCGGGTTCAGGTGGTGGAAGATGTGACAGTTGAGGCTGCAGCTCGCTAAGTGAAGGATTAGCAGGAAAAACTGCCTCATGCCCCTGTGCACTGATCAAAATCATTGTATGGTTGCTCACACTTTCCAACACACGCTCAAAGTGAAGTGTTACGGGGTGCTGCTCGGTGGAACAAAGAGGGATAAACGCAAGGGAGTAAAGCCACCTGGAACACGGCAGAGAGGATCATCGGAAGGAATGGACAGTGAGAATCGTGCCCCAAAGTGATGCTGTAACATGTGGTATCACATGGTAGGAAACTGTAGGATGACGCAAGGATGGGGCAAAGGCAGGGCAGACAAATATGGACAGCCAGATGCCAGGGAAGGAAAAGCAGCATCCAGGCCAAAAAAAAGATCCTTTGATCCTTTAAAAAGTAAATTGTCCATCTCTAAACCAGGATGGAGCATGGGGAAGTCCCCCTTCTCCTACATCTTCACCCTTGCCAAGACAAGCAGCACCCCAAGCAGCTCAGAGGGCCTTGGGTTGCTCCTAACACAGCTTGGGACCACCTGGGAGAGGATTCAGGAGCACTGAAATTGTGCAAGGGGAAGAAGAAAGCAACGAGCAGACAGCTGGGATGCGGCCCTGACCTGAACGCCTCAAAGTGAGGGGAAAAACAAAGCTTCCCAAATGAATGGGGAACGCAAACAACCATGAAAAGATACACGAAGAGAAATCTGCAGGTTTGCGGCGATCCCCCCACACGCTTTTTTAATGTGGGTCTGAAGCAGGCAGCAGGCAGCAGGCGGCAGCGGCCGGGTAGGGGCAGGAAATGGTTAACTTTGTTTGCAAATAAACAGAGCGGGCGTTCGCAGCCTCGCAGATACTTCTCGGAAATTAGGACGGGCCCGCGCAGGAGATTTGCATGCGCTGCGCGTGGCCCCGCGGCGAAGCGCGGAGCTCCAACCCACACGGGCTGAGAAGAGAGGGGCACCGAGAGGCCCAGAGACTGCGGCGCGGAGGGCAGCACCGTGCTGAAGGTGCATGCCAATAATGGGGGGCTCAGATGGATCATCGCAGCGAGGGATGCTGCCGGAGCCAACCCACAGCGCTTGGGGCAGGAGTTTTAGGGAGAAGGGATGTATCCCTGGGTGGGGGGGACGCTCATTTTGGAGAACGGGGGTGGCTTCCTGCCCCACGCTCCACCCCGCCGCGCTGGCGCGGTTTCCATTCCAGCCCAGGTGCTTTGTGAGCGGTGTCATCCGCCGCTAGGCAAAGGAAACTTGATCGGAGAGATTAATGCACTGAGATGAAGGGCAGAGGAAGCAGGATGTCAGCTTCTCAGAAGGTGCTGCCGTAAGCTGTGCGCACCGTTCTGCCCTGGGACGCGGCCCGACTTAGGCAGCACCGGGGCAGCGATAGGAACATCGATCTGCAAAAACAACAGCTCAACGGGGCGTGGGTCCCTAAAGCCTACGTGCGGGCAGGACGCGGATGCGCTCCCCGGGTGCGAACGGGCAGGGCTGCCGCGGGCTGAGCGCCGCCATCTCGCACCATCAGCTCCAACCGCGACCACGTGCGGCGCGCGGGGCGGGGCGTGATGACGTCACAGGCTGCGTCACGCGGCGCGCCGCGCCGAGGCGGAAGTAGCGGCGGTTGCCGGGGTAACTGTTGGCGGGGCGGTGTCATGGGCGAGCTGGGCTCGGAGAGCGGCGATGGGAGCGCGTACAGCCTGCGGCCCGGCCTGCAGCGGCGGTGAGGCGGGCAGGAGGGCCCTGGGGCCGGGCGGGAGGCCGTGGGTGGGCTCGCTGGCTCCCAGCGCAGGGTATAATAAGGGGACAGTTCTGTGCGTGTGCTGAGAGTCACCTTCCTGCGCCTGTTGTTGTCGGTCTCCTTGTTAGATTTAAGGCAGCTGCGGTGAAGGAATGCATCCGCGCCGTGCTGAAGGAGAAGCTGGCCGACGTGCAGTACGTCCCTGAGGAAATCCCACAGCTCACGAAGTCTTTATCGGAGATAATCAAAGATAGGCTGAAAGGTGAGCAGGTCTATTGGGAAAGCTGGTTCTTTTCTGACTGTGCTGTTCCCTTCGGAAGAGTGGGCAGGTGAGGGCAGGGCCCAGCAGCAGTGCTGAAGGGGGAGAGGTTTGGGAGCTCAGTCAGCCCAGGCAGGGTGTGAGCGTGGCCTTACAGCACTAAGAGGAGGAGGAGGAGAGGTGGAGGAGGTTTGCAGGATCTCTTCCGGTGCTTTTGACCATGAGAACCAACTTCAGGATCCAGCAGGTGTTTCTTGTAAGTGTTCCAGCATTGAGCACTTGAGATGGCACGGCATCGCTTTTTTTTAATCCCTCTCTGTCCCGGGGATGAGGCTGGTGCTCCATCTGCTGGGCTGATTCTCCATAACAGTCTCAGCAGAAGCTGTGGGTTTGTGCTTCTCCCAGAGTGGTGTGTCTGCTTCAATAGCAGCATCCGCGGTCCCAGCATGTGTTGATGTCAAGCTAATATGCACAGGGCTAGGCTTAAGCAATCTGGAAGCATGCCAGTGGTAGCCTGAAGCAAGACTGGCCCAGCGTGGCCATTGTATCAGCTGACATCTCTGATAAGCATTGACACGGTGGATGTTAACAGGCTCAGCATGCAACATTCAATCGTTCAGCAGAAGTAGTGTGCCAGAGTCATCCCAGGACACTGCTGTACTGAAGACAAAAGCATTAAGATTAATATTTTGTTTAAAATGTGTTTTTCTGGTTTGTGTTCTGGAACATCATTGTGGCCTCATTTGATCTGGCCCTCAAAGGTATTTTTTTTTTTACTGTTATGAAGGAATCACATATTTTTGCAGAGACACAGCATAGACCTGCTTCTGCTTTTAGATGGCCTTTTATCCCAACTTGGAAGTAAAGGAAACACTATGTGGCAAAAAATCTCTAAAATAACTTGGTATCAGAACAGCTTTAAAATAAGCTAGTTTTCTTAAAATGGATTTTGCCCACCTATGGTCTTACTTACATTCTCTCCAGGTGCTCAGTTCTTGAAAGCTGTAGAACTAAAATGCCACTAATGTGTACTTGGACAGACACCACTCACCCTCCAAGGACCATAAGACTGTGGTACTCTGTACCGAGGAAAGTGAAGCTATGAGGCAATCTGTCCATCCTATCAATTGCATGTTGTTTTTTTAAGTTGTACAGGACAGAGCTTTGTAATTAAAGATCTTTCTCTCTCTGTCCTATTTAGAGTTCATTTTAAATAAGTATGGCCTTTGAAGTTGCTCTCCTTTTTTTTCTTTTTCAGAGGAAGGATTTGAGAGGTACAAAATGGTGGTGCAGGTTGTGATTGGAGAGCAGAGAGGAGAAGGAGTGAAGTAAGTTTGAGATTTTCTAATTGTATTTCTGTGATTTTTTTTCAGTTGTTTTTGTTCTGTGGGTTGTTTTTCCCTTCTCCTTTAGGGGCTCTTCCAATTTTTCTAGATGCAAAGATATTTCTGCAGGTGCTAATAGGCGAAGTATTTTCTTCTAAGCAGCAAGTGATGGCTTGGGCTGTGGCTGATTAAATTACTACAAGTCAGTTGACTGATGATAATTGGCTGCATGGTGGCTCTTAGCAAGCTGAAATGCCGAAGAGCAATTGTGAGGTGTGTTGCATAAAGGCATTTCACACTGTATTCACAATGAACTGAAGCATACATCCAGTCAATTCTGAGAGCCCTGCTGATGCACAAGGTCTATGGTAATTCACTTGTGTCTAAAGCCAAACAACTATTTTTTTCAGAAGTTTAAATTTCTATAGTCCCCAGTGTAATATTGTCATAGGAACGTAGCTTAGACTGCAGGTGCAGAGCACCTGAAAAATCTAGCTCCAGGCTCCTGCAAGCAGATGAACAAATTCCTCATTCCTGCTGTATTGGTGTGTAGCTTTCCATCGCTGCTGGGTAAGGAAAAAGCACACATTGTGTCTGTGCGTTATGTGCAGGGCTTCCCTTTATTCTTGTGCCTAGTGCTTCAGCAGAAAATAAGTGAAGCAAATAGCAATCCCATTGGCTGAGACTGGTTGGAGCAGGTAGGGAGCTGGGAGTTTGAAGGAAGGAAAAGACAGTATCAGTGACATTAGACAAGGTAGCAGTGAGGTCTCACCTGGAATATCTCATGACAATCTGGTCATTTGCCTTCAAGGTAGGACAGGTGTTTAAAAAAAAAAGCCACTAGAATTTTCAGGGACCAGAGAGCATAGATATGAAAGGGCTAGAAGTGCTTAGCTCATATTTTAGTAATGCGAAGGCTGCCAAGAAATGTGATAGCTCCCTATAAATAAATTGGTTGTATGCAACACAAGGGTGCCAGAGGTGAAGGACAAGAACGAGCAAGCTAATTTAGCCACTGTTATGCACAGACCTGAAGTCAAAAGGTTCTTAAGCACCAAAGCAACGAAGCTGCAGCTGCTGTTGCACGGTGGAGCAGGATTGATAGGCGATGAGTTTGAGGCTGCAGCATAAGCAACATACTGAGGCAGTTACAGCATATAAAAGGAATCTAGCAATGGCAATCTAGGCTCAGGATTCAGGAGAATGCTTCCAGTTTCCCTTATCTTTAAAGGAAGCTCAATTTGACTTTTCAATTAAGGTGCCTGTGATCACTTAGATCCTTACACCTGATGTTGTAGGTAATGGCTTTCCTTTTTCTCCTTTGTCCAGCATGGCTGCACGATGTTTCTGGGATGCTGACACTGACAGCTATGCTCATGATGTTTTCATGAATGTAAGCACTGACTTTTATAATGGGAAGTATAAAGCTGTTGTTTCATGTAGCACAGATAAAAGCAGCCACCAGTTGTTTTGGTTTTGTGTTGTTGTTTTCGGTTTTTTTTTTTTTTTGGAAGGAACCAAAACTATTGAAACAAAATGTGAAATCTGTGAAGCAAGTGCAATTTCCAAAATGATAAAACTTGAGTAGATCATACAGTGGTCTACAAAAGCCACTTAAGTTACACCATCTGATAAGTGGAGTAGGAAAGCATGTGAGATATTTTGTTATTAGCTTTGCTGAACTGCTCTCCAGAAGTAAGGCTGCAGTCCAGGACTGAGGAGAAGTCAAGACTTTAAATTAAAACTTCCTATATGTCCTGCTACAGAGTGTTTCCCAGGTTAGATTTGCTATGGAATGTTTCGAACTCTGCTGTAAGTCCCTAGACAGCACTGAAAGACATGGGGCTGTGAGGCTTTCAGGGAGAGTGTCCTCATTATAAGCTACAGAATACAAGGAGAAGTATGGATTGCTCTTTGGTGAGGACTTTCTCTTTTGATAATTGTAATCAGTTGAGGTGCTTCTGGTATTTGAACACAGCACAACTGAGGTGAATAACATAACTTTTTTTTTTTGTCTTTTTAAGTACTTAAAGTGCTAGGTTATGAGTATTTTTAGTGCTCTGGTCTGAGTGTTCCCTCAGGTCAGCCTTTACAGTTGGGCTAACAGAGAGTTTGCCTTTGCTAATATGGAGCCTTTCTCTGTTTTCTTCAGGACAGCCTCTTTTGTGTGGTAGCTGCATTTGGCTGCTTCTACTATTGAAGATAACTGCACAAAAGGACAGAGGTGGGGGAGAATACTTAAGGGTATTTTTTGTTACCATAATATACACAAATACAGCGTGTTCTTCCTTTAATACTTGTAGAGCAATACAGCTCTGCAAAGCATATCCTGTACGTGTTGAACTACAGCAATTTTCCTCCCTTGTTGATGTCAATATAGCTTTAAGTGTGTCATTATGTCCTTTATGTAAATTGCTGTTTGTTTTTATATAGTGTGCTGGTTTTGTCCTAAAAAGAGTATTGCCAGGAGCTGTTGTTTTTAAGGCAGATGTGACTTCTGTTCTAAGAGGGTTCTACTGCTTTTACTTCGTTAGTTTTCTGAGGAGAATGAAGTATTTCCAAGAAATGTAACATAATAAATCTGTATATTTACTTTTTCTCTCCTGTGTTTACCTTGTCCTTTTCCACTTCTTGTCCTCTCTGCTCTATAAAATGTGCCAGCCTTGATTGGTTATCTGTGCTGCTCAGATAAGCATTTTCTGAGTATTCTCTGTAAGTTAATCCATAAAGCTGACCTCTTATTCTGCCTACGTGGATTTGTTCTTGGGACTTCTTTAAGAATTGGGTTGATAATTCCAGCTACATGTCACATGAAATGATATTAATTGATAGGGAGACAAGGTATTTAGGGCACTGGGTCAGGCCAGCAGCCTGCACACCTCACAAAGCATCAAAACTCCTCCAGCTCTAACTCCTGATTGGCTCAGTTGCAATCAGGCAGCTGTGTCACATGGGATACTCATTGCTGTTCAGTAGATATTGCAATGCTTTTTCAACCTTTGCCTTTCTGGAACTGTTTCAGGTGGGTGTTTGGAGACTAAAGTTGTTTGGACTCCAGCTTTGACAGGAGCAGGAGGGAAGGCTGCTGGAAATCAGAAAGAGTCCCCAGAAGTCAGAGAACTGGGCTGGTTCCTGGGAGAGTGGGTGCTGCCAGAATGCATCCCTTCAGAGGCAGGACAAGTTGCATGCTGCCAGCTCTCTGCCTGGGCTGACTGAGGAAAAACAGAGCTGAAGAATTTCAGCTATATGTGGGGCTTTTTCAGAGCTGCAGTTGAGTGAGATGAGTCCTGAATCCACCCTCAGCTATTGCTGGAGGAGATCACGCTGTCAATGCAGCTCATAGCAGTCAAACCAGAAATTATGATGCATTTTCTAGAATCACTCTTCTGTCTGCAATCCTGGCTCTGTTTCTCTAATAGGTTTGTTTGAAAGCAGCTTCATTTGATGGGGGAACAGGAGGTGGTCAGCAGTTGTTGTTGTCACCACTGCTCAGTGTATGAAGCTGGGAGCGTGCAGTGAAACAATCTATTAGAAAAATCTACCAGGAGATTAGAAATATCCTCTGCCTCTTGACTTGTAAAAATTACAAACCCAGGTGATTGCTGTGTTTGGAAGCTTTTTTACAGCTGCTTGACGAAGGTGTTACACGAAGGTATAGATCTGTGCTGACTCAGCTCCAGTGACCCCTCCTTGAAGAAGGGCCGAGCGATGCAGCGATGTCCGGCCGACGAGCCCAGGGCCCGGCCAGGTGCCTTTCCTCCGCTGTCCGCGTAGCTCCGCATCTCTGGCGTCGCACAGCTCCTTCCTCCGTTCATTTGCAGCACTCGGAAGGTCCGCGGCGGCAGCTCGGGCCGCGTTCCGCCCAGCGGGGTGTAAAAACCCCACGGCAATGCCTCCCCTCGGCGCAGAGCGGACGTTCCGGGCCGGAACGCAGATCGCGGGCGCGGTTTCCCGGGCCGCCCCGGTCCCTTCCTGCGCTCCGTCCCTCGCGCGGCTCCGCCCGGCGCCCCGTTGGCGTTGGCGGGAGCGGGGCGGGGCGGCGGCGGGAGCGGCGGCGGCTGCGGGCCGGGCCAGGTGCGTTCGGCCGGGATGAGGGGCGGCGGGGCGGGGGGACGCGCCTGGGCGATACGGGCCGGGCTCGGGGGATGTCCCTCGGGCGGGGGCCGGGAAGGAACCGGCCGCGGTCGTTCTGAAACGCTGTAGGAGAGCCGTGCGGCTTAACTCGGAGCTGAGGATCTGCTGTGGGTGATGGGTGAGCGCACCTGCGGGCTGTGCTGCCGAACCCGGATCGGGACCGAAGTGGGGCGGAACGGCCTCGTGCTTCCCGTGTGCTCTGCACCACCCCCGGCAGCCGCGCTCCGTGCCAGCCGCCCAGCCCTGGGGTTACGGCGTGCCTGCGGGGCTGTGAGCTCGTACGGAGATCCTGCTGCTGACTGCAGGGCTGGGCCCTGCCTGGAAGGAGGTGTGACAGCTGCGTAGCACAACTCCAAGTCTGCGTACTGTTGTATCGGTCTGTGGTCGAGCTGGGATCGCTCTCACACGTTCGTGTGGCTGTCAGTGTATTGCAAGGCAGCTGTGTTGGCTTAGCCTGGGGAGCTGCCTGTGTTTTAAGTGCTAGACCCCTAAGCTTTATGCAGACTGGAGGGGTTCCACCTGCAGGCAGAGCAGCCGAGCTGGGGACAGTGACACGTGTCCCTGGTGTTGTGCCCTCAGTATGGGGAGTTGGGCAGGGCTGTTAAACACAGGCTGGGGAGAGATCCTGATCTCTCCCAGTAATTATGTATGGGTTAACCCTCATCTTGTAAACAGGCTTTCATCAGTTTCTTGGGGTGTCCACAGTGAGTCTGGTGGTGTTAACCTCTTCTTTTCTGCTTACAGCAGATCTCTGCAAAGATGCATGGCAGTGAGATGGATTGTAAACCAAAGGTTCTGTATTGTGGAACAGAACACAGAGTCTGTTCTCCCTGTGACTGAGGGACGCAGGGCAGTTCAGGCACTTTGCAGCCTGGCAGGAGTTATCTGAAGTGACAGGGCTTCTTCCTTTTCCCTGAGGCTCTCGCTTAGTGCCTTCATGTGTCAGGGCAATTCTTCCCAGCAGACAGCTGGCAGAGTGCAAAGTTTGGTAGTATTTGTCTGCGGATGAGTCAGCAGAAGAGAAATAGCTCGCTGCTGCAGAGCGGAGTGATCTTGTAGGCAGTGCAGCACATGACAGCTGCATCTGACTCTGAGTTCAGAGGGACGATAGGGGAGTGCCAAGGCAGGCAGTGCACTGGGGACGTGGCAGCGTGGGGGGGCTCACGGTCCCATCATCAGCCTTGTGCCAGCTTGGACCTGTCGCTGAGCTGTTGCAGTCACCTCTCGTTTTGTACAGGTTTTATTTTGCTTTGTCCTGTAGCACCAATTGTGTTATGAAGTGGTGCAGGGGTTGTGATTTGCCCTATGGGTCTGCCCATGGGAGCTACTTAACTTTGCTCCTGGATAGCAGTTGCTCCCATTGAGCACAGCTCAGGCTTGCAGGATGGTGGTCTCTCAGGCCTATAGAACAATGTTAATGTTTTACAACAGGGCTTTTTCTTTAGGCTATGCCAGTTCTTTTATCTTGCCGTTTTTCAAAAGAAATCTTCAGAGCTATCTTTTTCCCTTCCCCATCTGCTGCAAATGTAATTAATTTTAGAACAGTCCATGTTGTACGTATTTGGGGAAGCAAAGATGCATGCTTGTGTGTTCAGCTCAGCTACAAATGCTGGATCGCATTGTTAGAAAGTCATTGTTTAGGGGCTATTTTAGTCATTGGGATAAAAAAAAAAAATAAAGTTCTAAGATAAGCAGCTTTATCATGTTAAGGTATAGTTTGTTTTTCAAAACAGTTTGTTCCCAGCTTTTAATGAAGGTGCCTTTGGTGTTGCGAGGAGCTCGTGGAAACATGCTAGCCACAGGGTAGAGGTTTTAAAGCTCCGAAGAGTGGTAAAATTACTGTTTAATTTCTGCAGTAGTTTAAGTAATTAACAGAGCTGCGTCACTCAGGAGGTGCCCAGCCAAGCTCCGGGCACTGCAGAGGCTCCATCACAATGTCTTGGTGTAGCACTGGCACAGAGAGGACTTGTGCACCATCCGCAAGGCTTCAGCCACGGTGTGTCAGGTAGTCACATTTAAGATTCTTTTTACTGTATACGCCATGAGAAGTGGAAAAGCGAATGGAATTGGAGAATAGAGAGTGGTGATGTGCTGGCATTGTTACCCAGAGAGCTGTGGGTGCCCCAGTTCTTCAGGTGTCCAAGGCCAGGTTGGATGGGGTCTGAGCAGTCTGAGCTGGTGGGGGGTCAGCCAGCCCACGGCTGGGGATGGGGATGGGTGGGCTTTAAGATCCCTTCCAACATAAGCCATATGAATGTTTATGTGAACTAGGCAATTTCTGGTAGGACGGTGATGATAAAGTAAATATCTGATGTAGAGTGTGCTTGCAAGATGGCAACTTGCAAAATCCAAGTCTACTTATGTCACACCCTGTGTTTTCATAGAGGTACAGTGGAAGCTGCTGCATTTATGGCACAGATCTTGCTCCAGTTAAATGTTTGCTTAAGTGTTTGGAGACTTAGAGCTTTGGGCTGCAAACTGTTTGAGTTTGCATTTGCTCATTCCCATGTATTTACCTGTTGTTAGGAAATAAGGTTAATTACCAGAATAGGGGAAATGCAGTAAACTTAACTGACAGACATTATGGGTGAGCACTGGATGGCTCATGCAGCTGTGAAATGGCCACACGCCCTTCCTCTCTTCCCTTTGGAAGATGATACAGCTTTTCCAGCTGCTCTCCACAGGCACTTTTGTCATGTCCCCAGTATTTTTTGGCTCCTCGCTCACCTAAAGATTCTCTTTTCCTAACTTAGTGCATTACGTTAGGTCTAATAGAAATTTGGGGCACATAGCCCCAAACCAGTTCAGCTGCATTTGACCCTAACGCTGTTCACAAGCTATCATCTTGGTGATGCTTGGTGGGAAAAGCTGTGTTCTTGCATGCATTTAATTCCTTTGGGACATTCCTTAACTCAGAGTCATCTGCACTTGAGTAAGTTCAGTCACTCAATCTGCTTCTTAACAGCTCTCTTTCACCAGGCCCAGCTTGCTGGCTGCTGGAGGGCAGAGTTTCACCCAGTGGCCAGCACTAAGGATGGCCTCAGCTCATCCCAAGCAGGAACACTTGGAGAGACCCAAGCACCAGCACAAAGGGTGCTCAGAGGGTCTCTGCCTGGGCTCTTACCTCTCACTGCCCTACCTATCGTGTTCCAGGTGGGTGGGGAGAAGCTTTGAATTCCACACAGCCCTAGTGATTAGGGTGTAAAGGCATGCACATAGGCATCATTCCTGGGTGGAGGGTTCATGCTGCTCTCAGGGTAAGTAGGTCCAAAGTGCTGTTTGGTGCAGTGGGAGTTGCACCCTTGGAGCGAGCAAAAGTGGTAATACTTCGTTGCTGCACTTTACTAATAAACTTTGCAAATGCAGCAGCTGTGTCTAACTCCTGCAGCAGCTGAAAAGGAAATGTTTGCTGTCATGCATTTTTACAAACCCATAGCTTTGCTTCAGCTGTTCTTCTTAATGCTCCAGGGCCTTTTTGGGAAGGCTGCAGTGTACGATGACCCCAGTGCAAAAGCCAGGATAGCTGACTTGCAGATAGCTATTACATTTTCCGTCCCAAACAGGTTGTCTTTCTGTCCGTTCATCATATCTGCTGCTGGTTGCATCCTGGTACACAGAGTGCCAGGAGTAAGTGTGCCTTAATGTGACAGGCAGCTGCTTCGCCACCAGCTGAGTCACCACTGCAGGAGGAGACAAGGTGAGGTGAGCTGGTGGTGAGGGGAGCTGCAACTCGGAACGCAAAGCAGACAGCAAGTCATATTTGAGGTATAGCCAAAGGTTGCACCCCTTCTCTCCTACCCTCTCTCCCTTATCCTTCTGATTAATGTTTGCATCCAATATCATCAAAATGAGAGCTGGGGGAGGACTGAGTGTGCCTTGGACATGCCTGAATCGTTAGGTTGCCTTTCAGAGGCTAAAATAGCACAATTGGCCTGTACTAATGATTTATAACTTGCACTGCAACTCTTGTGTGAGTTTCTATCGAGGCAGCTGACTGCTGTGTGCTTCTCTCTGCAGAACAGCTCTGAGTTGCATTAAGTGACTTTCAGTATTCCCACCAGGCACTGTTTGTCAAGCCTTGGCAGCTGGTGCCAAATAGAACTGGCTAAGCCCCTTGTTAGGTGGCTGTGTCTTTGCGCTGACCTTCTGTATGCTCTGCCTGCTGTTGACTGATTTTTGCTTTGGAAGAGCTGAAAAATATCTTTTTTTTTTTTTTATCTGCCTCTGTTGCAGCTTCTACTGGACGTGCTTGGCAAGATGGAGCCGCCGACCTCCTCCAGGCTGAATTCCCGAAAGAGAAGAAAAGATGGATCTGGCCCCAACGGGGCAACAGAGCTGGATGGAATCCCTGCAAAAATGTCCCGGCGCTCATTCGTAAGTAAGCAGAGATGGGAGCTGTGAGTGCTGGGGAGGTTGGGCTCTGGAGTCAGAGCAACAGGAAGATAAATGTGATGGGGTTGCTGTGGACTCAGAAAACAAGGGGTAGGAAAGAAGCAAATGACAGGAGCTATCCTTGCAAAGCCAGTTTGAAATCTTCCTTTGCTCATACTAATGACACACAACATAGGCTTAAATTAGATCTGAAGCAAGCGTCACTAAGCTGCTTTTGTGGTCTGTCCAGCTTGTTTGTACTCACTTAATCTGTTCCCAAGCAGACACGCAGATAGGTATCCACGTGCTACAAGAGGAAGCATTCACTTGGTGTAGGTGTTTTTTTTCACAGACCCAGGTGGGAGAAATACTGCAGAAAAGCAGAGAAACAGTACCTGTGTCTAGCAGAAAGCAGTCTGTGTCAAGTAGGGGACCTGGGTCTGGGCTTAGAGTTTGATACCTGCAGAGGCAGCCAATCTGAGACTGGAAAGATAACTCTTCTTTATTTTCCTAGTGCAACAAGAGACTCTTCCATACGGGTTTGTCCCAGCTAATGTCAGTATGAAGAGCTGACTTAATATTGTCCTTGTTGTGGTATTGTGATGATGAGCTTTGTACAGCTCTTCTCTGCTCCTCTTCCAAAGCTCTCCTTTGTATTGTGTGCTCTGATTGTTTTTTCTGTATCTCAGTGAGAAGCAGCTTCCATCCTGCTGCATCATTCTGGAGTCATAATTCTTGGTGAAATACAGTGATGTCTTACAGCTCTTCTCTTTGATAACAGTGTTTTGCTATTCAGTGAGCACTTCAGTGCTGTCCCAGAACATCTGACAGATTATAAGTATTGGGAATGGAGGCTTGACCTATTGCATGACTCTCATCAAAATGCATTCTGTTTCTCTTAAAGACCCCACATCTTTTGGTGGGGAAGGAGAAGTGTATGGCTTATTCCATGGAATCATTTGCACTTCAACTTGGTGTCCTGTGTTAGGAATAAAATGTCTGTATATGAATCATGCAAAACAAGTAATGAATAAACTGCTGCATTGTGCACATCAAGTTGTGTCCTGACTCTTGTAGGTGCTTGTGGAGGAAGGGCGAGGTTGGCAGGAGCTTCTGAGGGTGTTTCTCTGTGATCCTCTGATAATTTTGGTAGTTTTTTGTTCTTATTCCTAGGTTCATATTGCACTACTGATGACCAAAGTGCAGAGTCTGGTTTTATTCAGAAGCCCCAGATACAATGGCAGTGAGGAAAGGAGAGGCACAGGCCTTAGCTAGCAGTAAGGATCCACCAGGGGAGGTGGTGTGTGAAATGTGGGGGTCTCAGTAAATGCTGATGTTAATGGGGATTTCAGCAGCATTAGTTTGCTTGAATGTAATGGTCAGCAGTTGCTTTTCCGTGCACTTCACTTGTCACACTGTAACAACTGTAAACATTAACAATCACAGCAGTGGTCTCTCTGGTTGCAGTGGTGCTGGGCACTGTGGCAGGATGTCACAGTGGGGTAGGAAGGCAGAGAGGAAATTGCTGATCAGTTTTTTGCTACTTGAAGTATTGTACTGACCTGCAAGCTTGTTTCCTAGTCTTCTGGCTTAGGAAGGAGAAACCCATTGCTGCCTCACACCTTCCTGTTAGAAGGAAGTTGAGTTGTTCCATTATAGGAAAATCAGATGTTTTGTTGCCATTCAGAAACCAGAAACGGTACTCGGACTTGAGCTGAGGTCAAGCTAGTGGATTAGAGAGGTTTTCCTATGGCATTAAGATATATTCTGCTGCAGATCGAGGTCAGTCTCTTGTTACTTATGGCTCAGAAATAAACAATGGTACACAGATTCCTTAGGGATTTGTTCTGCTCTTGGTATTGCTCTTCTGCTCGTTCATATACTCAAATTGAGGAGCTGTTACCATTTGTATATCACAGCACAAGCTCTCAAACACACAAGCACAGCAAAGTGGTTGTCTGGATGAGCAGAGCTGTGAGGGTGAGGTTTGTTGAAGTTCCCTTTTTCCATGCCCTCAAATTGAGGCTAATCACCTTGCAGGGTTGTTTGGAGCTTTAGCACTAATTAGTCTTTCAGTGCATGTGCTCAAGTCGTGAGGAGACACAGTGAGTCACTCAGTGACTAGGACACTGCAATGGCATTGCTGCTGCTACGCTGTGTTCAACTTTGCATTCTCACCACTGACCTTCTCTGTCTGTGTAGGGACTGAGGGAGCCAGCTCCATTTTCAGATGAAGTGGAAATCGATTACAGCAAACCGTACATCAGAGTGACGTATGAAGAAGCGATGAGAGGGACCCCTTGTAAGTAAGAACCAGGCTTTAAGGGGAATGTTTAAATGTTGAATGTGGGATGGGAGATATGATTGCAGCCAAATGCTTTGTTAATGCTTTGTTGATTAGATAATTGTTCCTGTGTGTAATTGGGCCTGCCAGTCCAACCGAAATTGGAGCCTCTGTGTGAGGAGCAGAACCTTCACCAATAAGACTATTTGAAATAAATATTGATGTTTTAGATATTCCTTGTGCCTCTGACAGCTAAAGCTTACTGTCAGACCTGAACGTTTTTTGGTACGACTTAGCCTGAGGCTACTTAAAGTTAGACACTTTAAAAGTCGTCTCTTCTGAAATGGACACTCAGAACCAACGGATGCCTTTGTCCAGAGTGTTCCATTGTAGTCTGCAGTGTCATTAAACAAAACAGGCCAGCCCCACAATGGGACTGTGTCTTTTTGTTCACTAAAACAAACTGGGAGAAACTGTTTTCTTTGCAGACCCCAAGGGGAAGCAGAGACAGGACTGTCCCTTCATCGGGGATGGTTTCCCTCTCTTGTCAAACAGAGTGCTCTCTTACTTGGTCTCTCGTTTACAGAGACCCTAAGATAATAAAAATGCTGCGCTTCTAATTATAAGACTGATGCTGAAAGAAAAGCCAGCTCAGTCTGAGATCTGTCACCAATTTCCTGCAGTCTTTGTAACTGCAGTGCTTTGCATACTCCATGTTGGTTTCCCAGCTGAAAGTCTCTGGAACCCACAAGAAGGTGTCTGATTTGACGTCTGTTCTGTCTGCTGTGGCTAAAATACAGTGTGTACCTCCTTGTTGCTGTTTCTGCCTGTTCTCAGAGGCTACAGCTATTGCAGATATAGAGGAAAAGGAACAGATGTCCCAGCCAATTTCCAGAACATAATTGCACTTTAGCAAAGCTATGTCAGGGTCAGCCCTCTTGTGACATACAGAAAGCTCTTGCAGTTTTAGATCTCCAAATCCTTGACCCTCCGGAGCCTCCCAGCACCTTCAGACAGAGGCAGATCTGTTGACAAATGACTGCAAGAGACTGTCCTCAAACTGACTCCTCTGCTTGGCTTGAACCTGCTGTCCCTCCATTTGCATCAAGTTTTCCTCTTGCTGCATCCCGTGCTCTGTCACTGGTCACATACAGGGCCCTTCCCAGACCCATGAGGTTTCAGCTCTTCTGCTGAGTCTTCCTTCTGCCCCTTTCTTGCTGTGGCTTTGATGTGCTTCTGTTCACACCAATCTGAGTCTGCATGATTTGAACCAGAGAGCAGCAGGCCATTTCCAAGTGTCAGATACCAAGAATGTGTACATTTCTGTTAGCAGCAATAAGAGCTGGTGTCCCGCGTGGTTCCAAGGCACCAGAAGTTGGGAATCTCCTGCTGTTATGTGGTAGTTACTGGTCTCGACTCTATCTCAACTTACCTCTGTGCTGACCTCAGAGAGGAGGTGCAGTTTATTCTGGGAGAGATGGCCTGGTGGTCTTTTTTTCTTCCTTATTAGCCTATGGATTAGGTTGATAGTGCCAGTAGCTCAGCAGGATTGTATCTGCTTTCCTTTGGGTATCCAAATATATTTTCAGATACAGACGTGCACTTTGTGGGATGCCGGGGGAGCTGATGATGCTGGTGGGAAATCAGAACAGTCTGGTCCCTTAACAAGATGTAGCTGTGGCAGTGGGCTGCAGGGAGAAGGATGTAGAGAAGGTCTTCAGATGCTGTCCTGTCTGGCAAGGGAAATCAGGTGCTTGGAAAACATTTTGGCCCTTTGGTAATTCCTTGCTGTGCAAGAAGTTAATTTAATGTTACATTTAGATTTCCACAGGAGGCAGACGTTCAGGGTTTGCTTTCCCTTGATCTTCCTCCATCTTGTTTCAGTGGGTATGTGGTAGGTTTTTAGTCTGTCTTTGAGCATGGTTATATTTCAGCTCTGTGGGGTTTTTTTTGGCCAGTTTTCTGCAACTGTCTGTGATTTTCAGAAGGTCACACAGGCATGAGCAGCAGCTGCTTCTCCAGGAAGGCACCCTCATCAATGTCTGTCTGTCTCTTTCTTTGGCACAGTGGATCGTCCTGTCAGGGTTTATGCTGATGGAATATTTGACTTGTTTCACTCTGGACATGCCCGGGCCTTGATGCAAGCGAAGAACCTCTTCCCAAACACATACCTCATTGTGGGAGGTAAGGAGTGATCTTGTTGACTTTGTAGGAGCACTGTTAACCTCTGCTGTTGTGCGTACAGATGGCACAATGGGGTTTTTGTCTTTATGGCCTTAGTGGCTGTCATTGCAGCCAGTTGTCTTAAATCCTTCCCTGTTGTTGAAGTCTTACTGCACTGTGTTGACAGCCAGATATGCCTACAGAAAGGAATCTTGTACCAAAAGGAAAAGGTTCCTCATCAACCTATTCTAATCTGGCTCCTCTAGTTTGTGATGGACTCCTGACTGCCTGAGGAGATGTGGCCAGGTGTGTCAGCCAGATCTCTTTTAAGAACAGGACAGGAAGGAAGAAACACTTTCTTCTGGCTGCTGCAATCGCTGCCATCTGTCCATGCAATGCCTCTGTACCCTCACCCACCTTTCTGATGTGTGCTACTACAGACACGTCACACTGTGCATGTTGTCTGTCAGGATGTGACCTGTGATCAGACTGCATAATGATGTTAAGGTGGCAGGAGCTGGGAGTACTTGTAACTAGTTTTCTCAACTATCATCAACTTCTTGAAGCAAAATGAAATTCTAATCTTATGATAGACCATCTGTAATGTCTTCATGTGATTTGTTTCCCTATCACAGATTCACTTGCTGCTGAGAGCTTTTTTGCAGTGGTACTTCTGAATGTTTTATGTGTGCTCAAGTGGTGTCTGAAAAGGGAAAGGGGGGGGAGGGCTGTTATGGTTAATGAAACTTTCAAAATGCTCTGAGCTTAGAAATCTTGCAGGCAGAAGGACAAGCTGGATACATAAATGCTGAACATAATACAGGAAAATGACTTCAGGGAACACTGTTAACACATTAGTGCAGCAAGGCTTGTAATCATGCTCTCTGCCTCCGGGTGACTGGTAAAGGGGGTGGACAATGAACTGCTCCCCTCACACCAGGAACTGACAGAGACAAGAGACCACAGCCTGAGTGAATGTTAGCTCCAAGCTGGGAGCAGTTTCACCCGCTCTTTATCATCTGTTTGGAATATAAATACATCCCATACCCTGAGACTAGTAATGCCTTGTTTAACTTTTGAGTCTGATAATCACATAAAGCTACTTCCTTTTCAATGCTTTATGTGCAGATGATGAAAAGTTGTTCATTTACTTTTCCATAGAACTTAATTAAATGAATTAATTTTCTGTGAAATCTTTCATTTGTTTCCCAAGTGCTGGTTTGTAGTATGCTGCTCATGAAATCAGAAGCATAGGGGTTTTGTTGTTGTTGTTTTTTCATGGGCTCCAGTTTCCAGACCTGAGCCATCGATAGGTTAATAAGGAGGTTTCTGCCAGGTAGTGCCATTTCATACAGGAGAGTTGTCTTCTGTATTGGCTGGTCTTGTTGGTTAGTGTTGGAGCCTCTAGATCTTGAGAGTTTTGGGTGTAGGTCCCCAGCTTGTGCAGAAACCCCCCAAAGAAATGGCCAGTTCCCTCTGTTCAGCCTGCCCAATGTTGCCCAAGGGTTTAGTGTTCTGTCATCACTGCCTATTCCTAGTGCTCCATGGCTAGAAGAATTAGATTTGAAGTGCCACCCTCTAACATCATCTGGTGTTGCCTGACTTAGCAGACGTGTATGTGGGATCCTTTTGCAGTGAAGTACTGGGGTAAGTAGCTCAGCATCACTCTTCTCTGTGCCTCTTTCTTCAGTCTGCAGTGATGAGCTAACCCATAACTTCAAGGGCTTCACGGTGATGAATGAAAACGAGCGGTATGACGCCGTGCAGCACTGCCGCTATGTAGATGAAGTGGTGAGAAATGCACCGTGGACGCTCACCCCCGAATTCCTGGCAGAGCATAGGGTAATATATATGGCATCTAACCTGCTTTGAATTTTCATTAGGTGCTATTTACAGCAAGAATTCATCCATGGAGGTGACCTCTGCCTGAGCAACCTGTTTGTCCTGAAGATCCTTAAATATGGAATGAGTTGGGTTATGGGAGCTGTGTGGGGCATCTTGTGTGAAAGCATGTGCTGAGCTGGCAGATAGTGACACAGTAAAGGAGTCTGAGAGGGCAGAAGGGTTCCATGTTCCAGGAGAAGTTGATGCTGGTGAAACAGGCAATGGGGAGAGCACAACATAGGGTGGGAATAACTTCTGCAGGTTGTCTGGTCCGCATGCTCTCAGCAGGACCACGTTAGATCTACATCAGCTTCCCTGCAACAGGAGACCAAGAAAGCTGTATTGTCCTATCAGTAGCTAAGATAAAGTGAAAGGAATCTCTGACATCTGTTGAACTGCTCTGGGAAGTGAGGAGGAGTCTGGGAAGTATGCTCAGTTTCCCTTGTGGACATTAAAAAGCTATTTATGGATCTTAAAGCAGCTGCATCCTTAGTCACATCTCTGTTGTGTGCTAATGTGTTTTAGTAGGCGATTGCTAGTGATAACATGGGCCTTGGGTAACTCTGCCTTGGATTTTCGAGAGAAAACTGTCTTGCTGTTTTCTCTTATGCCCCTGAGTGGAGGTATTGAGCAAGAAGTTACCATCCTTCAACAGAAAGCAGGAGTCTTCATGCTCAAAGTAAAATGCTGACTCTTACATTGCTTTTTTAATTTTCAGATCGACTTTGTTGCACATGATGATATTCCCTATTCTTCTGCTGGCAGTGATGATGTTTATAAGCATATAAAAGAAGCAGGTGAGTCTGAGTTGGGATTTTTTGCAGTGGGATTCCTGTTGAAGATCTGTTGGAGTTTCTCCTATCTGGCAGGGTTACACTGGGGAAGTGACTTGCCTCTGGGAAGGAGGCTCTGTCTCAGAGGCTGTGAGAGCAGAAAGAAAAATGTTGGTTTTGGGTATTAGGTCACGAGGCCAAGACTGTTCCACATCCCAGATTAATTCTTATGTACAGTCTTGTTATTGTGATTAACAATCTCCTTTTGGAAAAAGAAAATGACTTGGCTTACTGGTTCTCACCAGTGGAGAACCTTACATAGTTCACAGAGCGGACCCTCTAGCTGATTGCTGTAAAACTCAGTGGGGATGCAGCTGATGTTAAGCAATCAAAACTGAGCCATCAGAGCTTACAATTCTACCTGTGAATTTGCAGTACTCCTTATTCTGTCCTTATGACCAGACACTTCCAAAAGCAGTTGATTGTACTCAGTAGTTTTCAAACCTGCTGAGGTGAAGAACTGGAGCTTTTTATTTAAAAGACGTATTTGTATTTCAGTAAAAAATATTTTTTATGTGCTGGAGTCTTAGTTCTTTCACATGGTCTAGAAAGGAGGAGTGTGGTATTGTACAAGGGCACAGACATAATGGTGTGAGCACGGGTAGAAAGTGTGCTCGTGGCAGAGGAGGTGGTTTACTAATAAAGGTGGCAGTGTGTGTCTTACTGCAGTTGTCCTGAGTCCTGTTCTCCACCTTCAGGCATGTTTGCACCAACACAGAGGACTGAGGGGATCTCAACATCAGATATCATCACCCGGATCGTGCGGGACTACGATGTTTATGCCAGGCGGAACCTGCAGCGGGGCTACACAGCTAAAGAGCTCAACGTCAGCTTCATAAACGTGAGTAGAAGTGTGTTTCACCATAATTTCTTGTTCAGAAAAGTTGTGGGTGCCCCCTGGAGCTGCAGGAGTAACAGTGCTTCATTAGGGAGGAAGGACATGCTCTGTTCCTGTACTGAGTGGCTCATAGCACAGAGGCAAAATACACCACAGGAGGCTTTTCTGATGTTGGAAATAAAGTAGTAAACATTTTTCTTATCGCTCTGACACTGTGCTTTTTTAAATACAACTAAGTCAAAATAAAACATGAGAGGTAATGGCTGCTTGGCCTTAATTTGGCATGTAATTCTGCCTCTGTTTAAGAACACCCAGTAAAAAGTATTGGCATGTCACGAGTGACCTCCAGCAGGTCACTCAAATCTAATCAGTATATTTCATAAATATTTGCTTCTTCCTTGCACTGTGCTTAAATAGTCCTTATCTCTGGGATTAGTCATGCTTTGTGGACTGTGCCAGTGACTGCCACAAAGCATCTCACAACCCCACTGCATGTCTGCCATTTAGTCTAGGAAAGAAGCATAATTGAAGTGAAGGAGAAGTGTCAAAACTCGTGGAGAAGCAACAGTTCAGTGTAATAGCAGAACAGAGGCGGTTGCCGCTCAGATCTGGTGAGCTGTATTCTGACCCACCGCTTACTCAACAGGAGAAGAAATATCACCTGCAGGAGCGTGTGGATAAGGTGAAAAAAAGGGTGAAGGACGTAGAGGAGAAGTCAAAAGAATTTGTCCAGAAAGTGGAGGAGAAGAGTATTGATCTCATTCAGAAGTGGGAAGAGAAGTCTCGAGAGTTCATTGGCAATTTCCTGGAGATGTTTGGCCCAGAAGGTGCATTGGTAAGGAGCTGCTCTGTGAAAAGGAGGAAGGAGCTTTGGGAGTGCTGGGCAGACAGTATGGGGGCCCCTGGAGCCCACCCTTTGCAGAATGAAGCCTCTGGTTTGTCACAGTGCTAGCTGTGTTGTCACTCTCCAGACAAGCTGTCCCAGGCTTGGGCATTGTGTCCTGAGATCCCTCACCACTGCCAGCTGAATAAAGCCAGTTATGGCTGGAGCATGAAAAGTCTCTTTTCCCAAAAGCTGGTTTGTGAACCTTGGCTTGCATCCTGCAGGCCAGAGAGCATCCAAGAGATTGACAGTCACTTTGTCACTGGGATGAGATGGGTCTGAAGTGATGGGTTTTTGCCAGGCTCTGCTGTGGTGCTGGCTGAATGTCACACACACTTCATTCTGGAGATGCTTGGAAATGGTGAAACTGGATGTAGTATCCATAGGCTAGAACTAAGCTTGGGTTCCTTCTGTTCTTATATTGCATGAAGCACTGAAGAGACTCAGCAGCACCAAATGCTGCACAAGCTGTTAGTACTATCCATTTCCATCTCTGTTTGAGCCATGCTAACTATCTTTCTACTTCCATCACCAGAAACACATGCTGAAGGAGGGCAAGGGCCGGATGCTGCAGGCCATCAGCCCGAAGCAGAGTCCCAGCAGTAGCCCCACGCATGACCGCTCCCCATCTCCCTCCTTCCGCTGGCCCTTTTCAACCAAGACTCCTCCTTCTTCGCCAGCCAACCGCTCCAGGAATGAGTCTGCAGTCACCTATGACATCAGTGAAGATGAAGAGGATTAAACTGCCAGCCAGGATTTGCTGCGAACTGCTAATCGCTGAATCCTAAGTCCAGACCCACCGGGGGGGGGAACTCTAAATGAACAAGAGAGCCATAGGAACAGGGCTGATGGTGAGCGTAGGGCCTTGAAGGCACCCACTGCTCTTAGCAAGGGCTGCTGCCTGGAAGCACATTCAAACCTCCTCTCCCTTCTCCCCATATTCCCTTTTTATTGTTTACGTTCTAGTGTTTTCCAGGGGAAAGATGGTTTTTATATTTTAAGAAACTAGTCTTTTAAAACACAAAGAATAGCACCGATGTGTGGCTCTTCTTTTTGGTTTCTTTTCCCCTCTTTAAACTCTCCGCAGGAGATGGAGAGTGGTAAGACCAATCTGTCCCTTTTTCCCTCCAGCTCTTCAGTCTTATACCTCCCACCCCCAGGCATTATTCATGCCACTGCCAAATGGAAGACCCCTCAGTTCCTCAACCAGCAGCACCTCAACAGCACACAGGAAGCAGCCTTGCATAGAGGCTGCTAGGAAATAGGGACCTCTCTGCTGCACTGGAGCTGATAGGGAACCCATCTGGCAGACTCTGTAGAGCTCTTGTACCTCTTAGCTGAGCTTGCCAGCGTATCACAGCAGGGGTGTGCTGGGATGGGGCAGCTGGCTTACAGTGCATGAGCTACACCCTGGAAGAAGTGTCAGCTCCACAGCAGTGCACCTTGCAAGTGTGCAGTATTTGCAGCTCCAAAACTGCACAGAGGGCTGCAGGGGAAAGGCCTTTCCGGCCAGTCTTAACAAGACTGCTAAATCTTTTAAATTAAACATTGAGCCTTCGGTTGCTGTTGGAGGGAAGTGAGTGAATCTTTGCTTCAGGGCACTTGTCTGTGCATTTCCTACAGTGTGAGAGAGCCCAGGTAGGAAATGAATGTGTGTACTCCTTTGGGAAGCTCCTTGTCTCAGTCTCTGCTGTGTCATGAGTCTGTCCAAACAGCCCTTCAACACTGTGCTCTGTGCGTGTTTGTGTTTCAGTTGCTGGCTCTAGAGGCTGGAGCAGTCCTCAACCCTGGTGCCATGAAGTTGCTGCTCTAAGGACACAACATGACCTTGTACAGCCAACTCACTGTCCGTGTGTGCAGCTGGACAGATGAAGGGCACATTTTACAGCAGCAGAGGGCCACAGTCCTATGTGACAGTTCCCTGCCTTGCACAAATTTGTGCCCCTTTAGTCTGTTCTCAAGGCAGGCCGGAGAGCCTCAGAGTGCTGCAGCTTTTTCAGATTTTAAACATGCCTGCTGTTGTGTTTGTGTAGTGAGCATTGAGCTGCCCGGCCTCAGCTCTATGTGCTGCGTGCCCATGCACTGAGCCCCTTCTGCATTCTGTCCTGGCAGCCAGTGCTAGAGGAAGTAGGCTGCTGCTTCCCACTTGCTTATCCATTCAGGTTTGCCTGTGACATGCAAAATGTCCGGGTGAAGCTGCTGGGCTGAGCAGCCCATGTGCTCCTGCAGTACTGGGAGCAATACTGCAGGGCGCTCTTCCAAGCAGGACATGGGATTTAGGGAGCAGCGGTTGCAAGGAGATGAGTCCAAATGCTGCCACAAGCTCTGGGCTGAGCAGTGCTGCCAGGGATGCTCCGGGGAAGGAGCGAGCTGCTGCTCATCAGCTTTTACCTTGCTGATCTCCTGTCACTGCCCAGAGGGCTTGATGGGAGCTCATAGGAAAGAAATCTCTTTGCTCTGTGCTTCTGTTGAGGCTAGAGCCTGTGTGAGAGTATTTGGGAGATTCCTGATCTGCTACTCGGTCCTCCAGCAGGGATGTGCACAGCTCTGGGAGCATGGCTGGCTGCTGTAGATTTTGTGCTATACAGAGCGAGTAAAAGTCGCTTGGTACAAGCCAGTTTTTACTCACCTGCTTTATGAGTGATAAAGCACTTCATTTATATCACCCATGTTCTTTCTTCCCCACCTTTCTCACCTCCCCTTTTTCACCCTTCCCTCACTCTGCATGTTACCTTGCTTTCCCCAGCCAGGCCATGCTGTGTCAGAACCTCGCTACTGTTCTAAACACAAGTTATGCAGCAGTGTTCTGTACTTTGGGATAACAGTGGTGTTTCGGATGGTGGCTTGTCTCATGGAGACCCTGCATATTCCTTGGTGTCTGCACAACCTGGGGTGCTTGGTAAGAAGACAGACATGATTTTACACGTAGCTTGGAATAACAGAACTGTTTCTCATAACCAATAATCCCTGCTTCCTCCTTGCACTAAAATTAAAATGGCCACTTGAATTCTACACTAGTATTTGTTTATTTATTGGCTTTTTAGTTTTGTTTCCTTTTGAATTGCTGGCTCCACCCCCAGTGCTGTCTTATAAAGACAGAGCTTGGTCTTCGGGCAGAGGACATGAGCAGAGTTCTCCAGGAACATCTTGTCTCTCTCAGATATGTGGTGCTGCTGCTTTGGAGCTGTCCTGCATATACCCCTCAACTATCCCACCCTCTTCAAAAGAAGCATCTGGAAGAGAACTGAGTGTGAATTAAGAGGCAGACTGGTGAAATAAAACTTCACTAGCATGCATTGAAGAACATGCAGTCCTATGTGGAATTTAATGCTGCTAAAGCCAGAGGCATCGGCTTCTATGAGACAGTCCTGCCTGAGAGGGACTTACTGGGATTATTGGGATCCAGTTCTTGTAACCTGAGGTGGGTGCTGGAGCTGCAAATAGGCTGGCAGTAGCAAGAACAGACCTTGCATCTTCCCCTTGTGCCCTCCAAGATGTGCTCACAAGGGCTCCCAGCTGTAAGAGTTGGGTTTCCTGCCTGTTGCAGGTAAGGAGCCGTTCAACAAGGTCACCCAGTCCCGTATTCTGCTCCTTGACCATGTGCTGCATGTGCCAAAACTCATGAGCTTTCTGGGCCCTACTACTTGTGTTGATGCCTACGAGGATGTGTTGGTGGTGGTCGTGGTCTATTGCTAGGAGTGTGTCAAGTTGGACAATCTTAGCACTGATCACTGAAGTATCTGCTGGCTGAGCAGTTTCGCTTTGAGCTCAACTGCCCGCAAAAAGTGTGAGTCACTTCCCACTGCCCCTGGTGGGCCAGAGGTTTTCCCTCAAATGAATGAGCTGAATAAGTACAAATTGGGACCTTTGCCTTTCCTACTCCTCCCTTCCCCTGTGTGTTGTGCTGGGCAGGGGCCATGTGATGGGGGGTGAGAAGTTTCGGTGGTGCTCAGCAGCAAGCTCTGCTCTTAGCACCCGTGATCTGCCCATCTCTGACCATCAGTTGGTCGTGCTCTCCCTTCCAGCCCCACGTGCCTCAGGCTGGCTCTTCCCACTTGGTGTCCACTGTACTGGTTTGTCTGTATGGCCCTGTGTGCACAACTCCGTGTTTTGTGCTGGAGTTGGTTTTGTTTTGTTTTGTTGCATCTATGATTAGCCAAATAAATGCAAAATCATTTTACTCACTGTGTGCCACGTACCTTCTGCAGTTCTAGCACAGATGTGTTCTCCTCATCTGCCATTTTAGCCATGGTTTGAGGGAGAAGAGGCTGTGTGATCTTCTACCTCACCACCTGAAATCATGTCCTGCCCATCAAGGACAGGAGGAGATCCAATCCCAGCCATCACCACAACACTTGTACAAAGTTATCTTTATTCAGTGCCAGCCTGGAACCCCCCCAGGCTGGAGGGCTGCTCCCAGATCCCAAAATGTCCTTTCTCTTCTCCTGCCTTTGCTCCAGGCTGGGCTGGCAGCACACTGGACTTGCTGTGCCTTTGCACCCTCCTCTGCTTACACCTTGGCATTGCTGCTGGTGGCTGTGATGCTGACAGGCTGGTAGCCCGGCTTGTCATCCTGCTTGCGGTAATACATCCGTGCCACCACCACCAGGATGAAGGTCTGTGGGATTAACAGCTGCATGTTCATCTCTGAAAGCAGGAAACAGAGATTATTTGAAGGTGCTTTCACCAACCACATCCACTCCCTGCTGTGTGCTGGAGGTGCTTGGCCAGGAGCCAGTGCCCCGAGCTCCCAACTCACGCTGTGACCTGGCCTTGGAGGAGAAGGGCGGTGAGCAGGTGATGTTACCGTTGTTGGCCAGGATGCTGAAGATGGCAGGCTGCAGTGCTGTCAGCACGAGGAGAACCTGAAACCATTAGCACCACATGTCACAGGGACCCACAAGCAGGCACTGATCTCAGCAACTAGGCCGGACTCTTCCCCTTGTCCCACTGCCTTGCTCTGGCCAAGAAGAGCTCAGTAAGCTGCTGGCTTACCTGGAAGCAGGTGAACTTGGCCTGCATGTTCTGCTCCTTCAGATGCAGTCGTGCCTGTCGGAAGAGGATGCCCAGTGCCCACAGCCCGAAGAGGGTGGAGGCTCCAATGACGGTGTTGATCCAGAGTGCCACACTCTCTGCTGAGATCTGTGGGGAGGGACAGCAGCTGGCAGGGCTGCCCTGTCACAAATGCCCCTGCCTGTCCTCCACCAAGGCACTCACATCAGCAGGGTTGTAGTTCCCATCAGTGTACAGGACCAGTCCCAGGAAAACAGCAGCTGTTTTCAGGAAGACATACTGGAAGGTCCCCAGCATCAGCAGCCGAAGCTTTCTCCTAGTGAGGGAGAAGTTGGTTGCATCTCCCTGTCCAGGGCTTGTTTCACCCCAGCAGCCCTGTCCCACCCCTTCCTCACCTGCTCATGGTGATGCGGGGCAAGCAGGGGCAGCAGCAGCAGCAGGGCCCAGTGCTCACCACCATGGGCACATCCTTCAGGGTGCTGAGCACGGCCTCCTTCCCCCCGAAGCCCTCCACCATAACCATCATCATGACATAGAAACAGGTGGCAAAGTACCTGGGAAGGAGGAAGAGAAGGAGGAATGTGGCAAAAACAGCCAGGCCCCGCTGTCCCAGCTCAGGCCATACTCACATCGTGGTGGCCATCTCCACCACCATCATAGAGCGTGGGATCCACAGCCCGAAGCAGCTGAACACAGCCACGACCTGGAGGAGACACGTGCTGGGCACAGTGCTGTCCCCCATCTCCATGGGGGTTCAGACCCCCGGTGCTGCCCCCGGGCTCAGCTCACCGTGGGGGCCGAGCTGCTCCAGCAGAGGGTCTTCATCTTGATGGGGCAGCTGGTCTTGTGATAGATATAGAGGGCTTCTTCCACATAGATGACGACTGACACCAGCGTCAGGATGGTGGCCAGGCCCGTGATGGAGAGTTGGACCATGTCCAGCTCTGCCAGGGAGGGGAAAGAACGTGGTTCTGTTGAGTCCTATCCTATTCCCCCCTGTCTGGGGCAGGCAGAATGAGTCCCAAGCAGTGGCCGCCTGCCTCCTCCATCCATACCTCATCCCCATCCTGCTCCCACAGGGGACAAGAGAGGAGTCCCCCCACGCTGCCCGCTCCCTACACTTACGCTGCAGCAGCTGCCGGGAGGTGGGTGGCAGGGAGAAGCATGCGGCCGGCACGCTGAAGTTCCGCATCAGCATCTCCACCAGCGGCCGAGGGAACCTGCAGAGAAGGGAAGTGCTGCTGAGAGCAAGCAGGGACACAGAGATACCCAGCCCCAAGGAGTCCCCTCGTATCACCTATTCCTCCACATAACCCAAAATTCCACTACAAAAAGGGGCTGCAAAGCAACCCAGCAGCATGGGGGTCCCGGGCACCCACCTGGGGTCATCTGCCAGCTCCATGGTGGGGTCCATTCCGTCCAGCTCTGTGTCAGCAGCTGCAGGGCTGCTCAGCGCTGCCTTGGTTTCCTTGTGCTGTCCCCACACAGGGTCAGAGTCCCGAGGGCAGGGACCGCAGGGAGGCTTCGGTGTCTCATTCAAGTTTAACCAGCTCTGGGCGCTCATTGGTGAGGCCCTGGTGCTGGCCCAGCCCCGCAAAGTGCCTTGGCCACACGGTTATCGACCTGGGAGGAGTGTCTGTGACATGTGCCATCGTGCCTGCGTGTCCCCAGAGCTTGGGGGACCTGCTGGGTTCTCCATAGATGGGCTTGGGTGGGCACTCCATGGTGCCTGGGTGCCCTGGTCACCACGTGTCCTCCTGTTGGGGTACAGGAGGAATGGGGCAAGACCTGGTGTTACACTGCCTGCCACCCTGGTGCCACTCTGCCCACTAGGCTGTGGGAAGTCTGGCAGATGGCTGAGTGTCTGTCTGTCCTTCCTGGCACTCATGTGGCTCTGCAGGCAAGTGGCAGCAGGTGAGAAGTTTGCAAGGACTCAGCTCCCAGCAGTTAACTGAGCACCATGACGCTAGAGGGCAGGGCTGGTACTGCTCAGCACCGCTGCTCAGCACCAGCCCCAGAGACAAAGCTCTGGCCTGGGGAGGGGGCACTCTGAGCTGGGAATTGGGGTTCCGTGTGTCCCTGCCCTGAATGGACTGTAGCATCCTCCTGGGCAGTGGGCATGTTCACGCTCCTGGTGCCCTCCCAGCACCCCAAGGAAAACAAGCTCTGGTATGCAGTGGGCTCCTGCAAAGTTCAGAGTGGCACTCACACCCCAGAAGATTCCCCAGCACTTGGAACAGGAAGCTGAAGTTGCCATGGGATGTAGCAGGGATGCAGTAGTTGCCATAGAAGTGGAACACAGATTGTTGTGCCACAGGTGCCGGGGAAGGGGATCCAATCCAGCCTGTGAGGCCCTGCAGCTGCTCTGCTTGCCATGGAGCTCTTTGATTCCTTTCCTTTCAGCATCCTCCTGGTCCTGCACCTGCTGGTCTCATACCCGTAAGCCACTCCATGTAACACCCATGAGGTGGCAGAGCCGCCCTTTCACATCAGCATCTCAGGGATGCTGGAGTCAAGCATCAGCTCTGTGCTCACCCTGCTCCCTGGCTGCAGCTCTGTGCCCCGTTCCATCCCGCAGGTACAGCTGGCTGGCCCTGCACAGCTTGCCACTGGGTCCCTTCTTCACCACCATCCTCCTCATCCAGGCTGCCACCAGCCTGCTGGCATTCAGCTTCTCCAGCCTGGAGTTCCTCCGGACAGGTGGGACACACGGATACAGGGGGATGGGGCAGCAGGGGATGGCCCCAGGTCTGGAAGGAGCGGGGTCCCCGTTGTGTCACCTGCAGGAAGGACCCAGAGGGATGTGCTGGAGCGGAGCAGCACAGTGAGGCGGCAGCGCTGCCGCCATTCCTGCTGGCATCAAATCCTCTGCTTTTGCTGTGATAGCTGCAAGAAGGTAAGGGACAAAGCGCTGCACACCTCCAGTACACTGCAGCCCCACTGATCGTATCCCAGACCCCTGTCCCTACACCCTTCATATGCATACCCAAGTGTGCAGTGCTGTGCAGAGGGGGCAGTGAGACCCTGGGTGCCCCTAGTCCCAGTGGGGTGCCCCCACTGCCAGCACCCCTCTGTCACAGCACTTTTGCCAGTGTTGCCAGGCACCGAGGCAGAACATCAGGTCCCAGCATCGCCCACGGCATCGTCCCACCATCTCCTATTACCGCTGCGTCCACCTCCTGTTGACGGTTGCCACATCCCAATCTGTGGCAGTGCAGCTGTCCTGCATCCTCCTCCCGCTGCTCTGCCCCCTGCAGCCCATCACCCTGCAGAAGATCGATGTGTATCCTTGGTGCCAGGAGGCAGAGCCTTGCCCTGACACGCACACATGTGTCGTGCACCCTGCGGTGCCGTGTGGGCTGTGCATGCTGGAGCCTGTTCCCTTTGCTGTGCATATCCCCGGTGCACGGTGTGCTCGTGGCTGTTTGTCCCTGACTCACTCTGTAGAATCGCGGTTACCCTCTTCACCATCCTCTACCTGAACCCCATCACGCTCTGGGCCTTCTGGGGCACCCGAGCGCAGTGCACACCAAGGCAGCGGGCACGGCCACAGGGCACCAGAGCAGCGGATGGCACCATGATGCATCGATGCTCCACACAGCTCAGTCCCACTGTGCAGGCACTTGAGCGCAAGGAGGTACCCACACCGACCCACATCACCCCTCTCCATCCCCTGTCAGTGACACAGCCTGCACTGAGTCCCCAGCTATCCCCATCCCGAGGGTCACACAGTACCACTCTGCACCCCCAGGCTTACACCTGCCTATGCTGTGCCCTATGGAAGTCGAGGTGAGTGTGGTGCCCAGAGTGATGCCCCAAGCTGCCAGGCATTGTGGGGACTGTCCCCGTCCCGCTGTGCCTGGCTGCTTCTGACCAACATCATCAGTGCTGAGACCATCACTACCAACTCCTCCATGAGCTCACCACCATCCAAGAACTGCTCGGTGCTGGCAGTGTGGACATCACCCCAGCTGGATGCAGCAACGTCCCAGGAGCAGGAGAGCCAGCAGGTAGGGCAGTTACGTCCCATAGCCAGCACCAGCTGTGTCAGCAGGACGCAGCAAGCCTGCAATGCCATGTTGACATTTGGCCCAGCCATGGAGATGGTTGAGGAGAGCGCAATGCAATGGGATGAATGGGATGGGGCAGCTGGGGGCTTCTCTTGTTTCCGCCCCCATCCCCACGTGGTGGCCCCAGGATCACTCACCCCTTCTCCCCACAGCCACCCCTCTCCTCACAGGCTGCTGCCACAGGTGAAGGCCAGGAGGATGAGCAGGAGCTGAAGGCAGGTGAGCATCCATCCCTTGGTGCAGGCAGGATCCCCCTGCCTGCCAAAAAACCCTTCTGCACAGAAAGAAAAGGGAGCTCCCAGAACAGCCATTCACCCACCGGTCCCCAGTACCTGAAAGCTCAGGAAATCTCAGCCCCATGGGTGCAGTGCCCTGAGGGGCCACCAGCAGTGCTGGCAAGGTTCTGTCTGGTGGGTTAGCATTTTTCCTTAAACAAAACCATTTGGCCCTTGAAAACCTGCCCAAGCAAGCTCACCAGAGTCCTCTTGCCATGCCGATGTTGCCCACGCAGCTGTTGGGTCAGCGTTCCCCAATACTTGGAAAAGCTCTGGAAATGGAAATATTTGCCTGGGGTGGTTTTCCACCCACCTCTGGCTCCCTGGGCTGTGGTTGGAGCAGGACCTGGCTCTCAGGACCCTCCTCTCCATGTTTTTATCTCCCTCCCAGAGCCCAGTGCCATGCCAAGTAACCAGGACACCGAGGAGTGACAACCATCGCAGACACCGAGGGCAGCTGGCACACATGGGAAGGCAGCTCATTCACCCCAGTGTTCATGCTGTGGTCCATTTGGACAAACAGGCAATAAACACTTCCCTCTATGCACTTTTCTGTCTGGGACTGTGAGCTGCACTGTGCTGCAGGGTCCATGTGGCTGAGTCCAGTGACACCTGCACAGCACTGCTGCCCCCACCCCATGGCTTTGGGTTCAGGGCAGTGTCCCCTCTCAGCCCCACCACCATCCCAGCAACACCCCACAAAGCACTGGAAGCACGAGGGTGGACAAAGCTCAAGATAAATAAATAAAGCGCGGCGACTGCAGCACTGAGAAAGAGACAGGAAAGGCTTTCCCAGGGTGCTGGGAGGAAACCACCGAGAGAGGAAGGCTAGAGCAGGATGGGGGCTGGATCCTGCAGAACAGAAATGCTGCATCATCTGCCTTGCAGTGCAACACCTGAATTGGTGCAAAGGTGGCATTGCAGTGGTGAGTGCGTGCTGCAGTGGGGTTGAAGGATGCAAGAGGTCCTGAGCCCTAAAGCATCACCGTGCAACGGTCATAGCATCAATAGTCAGGGTGCCCCCATAGCTGGCCTCAGTGCAGAGGTGTGGGGGCCCCAGGGCCTGAACCACACCACTGATAGTGCCCTTGGAGCCATGCCCATGGGTGGCCACAGATAAGGGTGGCGTGCAGCTCCCTGATTGCCCCTGGAAGGCAGCAGGCAGGACGGGAGCAGACATCCCCAGGAGACAGGCCTGGAGGGAGCAAGAGGTGGGGACCCTTGGCAGAGCTGCAGACCCCCACTTCACGTCTCTGCTTTGCAGCAGGGAGCACTCCCTGTGCACACAAAACCCAAAGCTCTGCAAACCCACAGGGTTCCCGTGCCTCAGTTTCCCCACTTGTAAAATGAGAAGCGATCCCTGTGGCAGGAGGGCAGAGGCAGCTCATTTGCTTCAATGCCTGGGGACAGCCTGTGCTAAGTGCTTTTTGTAGGACAGGGCTGGAGTTTCAGATGCATTTATGTCCCTGGGCCACGGTCCTTCGAGGTCACACGATGAGTCTCAGTGCGCTGCTCCAATGGAATGAATGAAGTCATGGAATGAGTGAACCCCTCACAGCTCAGTGGTGTCTTCCCAAAGCTGCTTCCAGTGTCAGACTGGATGTAGGGCAGCAGGAAAGCTACACACATCCAGATAGGTGTGTGTGTACATGTGACTTTATATAATATATAGATTCTTATACAAGGTGTACATGCTGCAGAGAGCCAGTATGGGTGTGCCTCAAGGCAGTGTGCCCCGTGGGCTGGTTATCACCCCCACCTCAATCGTGCTTCCCAAAGCAGTGCTCAGGGGCCAGAATCAGGACTTGGCCATGCTGGCTTTCCCAAAGGTGTCCCACTGCCCCCAGCACACACACACAGCTGCTGTTTCACCATCTCCAGCTGGGAGATGAGGAGGATGGTGAGAGGCAGGGCAGCCTGCTGTGGCTGGAAGAAGCAGAGCAGGGGCTGGATGGAGCCGTTCTGCAGCTGGACAGAGGCCATCAGAGCAGCTTTGATGGCTCCAGCCACCCCTTCCCTTTTGAACCCAGCCCCACAGATGGGGCACCCGATAACCTCTCCGCCTCCACCATCAGCTGAGCAGCTCCGGGCTCCTCTCTGTCTGCTTTTCCTCCCAGAACACCAACATCCAGCAGGGCTGTGCTCTGCGTGGCATGGGCTTTGTCACCTTCAAAGGGGCCCAGTGTGGGGGTCCAAAGGAAGCACTGCAGCCAACAAACACACCGAGGTTCTGCTTCCTCCTCACTCCTAGCAGAACCAGCGGGTTCCTGCGGGCAGCCCTGAAGAAAGGCGCCTTGTTGGAAAACAGAGGGGCTTTTTTCTCTCGTGGCCACCTAAAATATCACGTGTAACTGCTGATGTTTGCATTTTGAGAAGGACGAGGTAGAAGCGTGGGCTCCGGGGCATTTTTTTTGGTTGAGAGTTTATTTTCTTACATGTCTGTCTCTTATTAGGAACTCGCAGGTGGAAATGCTGAGGCATATAGAAAGGCACACTTCATCCCCGCAAATATTCTCTCCAAGAGCCAGCACACACACAGAGTGTTTGGGAAAGGGCAGAGCTGCTTCTGCCCATCCCACCCCATCAAGGGGTCAGCAGTGGGAGCACACACCCAGCCCTGACATTGTCACTGCACGTGCACAACGTGGGCAGCGTGACTCTGCGTGAACATCGGCACATGCTCGTTTGGCATCTCAGCATAATTAATAAAGCAGCTGCTCTGAGCAGCTGGGATGTGCACAGGCAAAGCAGGGCACTGTCTCAAGGCAGGGGTGATCACACCCAGTAAAATCCACAAGTGCTGCCTGGAGGAGAGAAAGAGGCTGGAGGGGGGAAAGAGGCTGGGAAGTGCTGCACCCACACAACATCCCTAAGGCCAATCCTGAGGC